TTTTTTTTCTGCACTTTTCCTCTCCTTGCTCTGTTCTCGTTTCTGTTTTTTTTTTTTTTCTCTTTAATGCATTCCGACATGTAGCTAACAGCAAAAGGGAAAAAGATTTGCAATTACTGGACTGATTTCCCCAAAGATTTTGGGTCCATCAACATCTAAACAGAAGATGAAAAGGAAAAAAAAGGTGACTGGAAATATGGGAACTTGACAGAAAACCATGTGGAGAAATCTAAATTCGCATGGATTACTTAACACGAAACAGGGGGAATTTAACTTAACTTGACCCAACTTTATTAACACAGAATTGCCACATGACAGGAGGGGAAACAACAAGGCAACCAAAAAATGTTATTTTTTTCAAGATTATTTGTGAATAAACCATGTAAAGAACCAGATTAATATAGCAATCAAGAAACAAAGGAAAAGGAGATAAATACAGAAAATTGAGATTCAAGATCCAAAAAAACACACCTGAAATGGATAAAAGCCAATTTATTTATTTGCTACAAACTTAAAAATACAAGACTTCTTCCTTCCTTTGCTTCACACTCTCTCCGCCGGCTCTTGGATTTCTTTTCCCCCCTCTCCCTCAATTTTTGCTGAATGCCCTCCTAAAGCCAAAAGCCCCCTTTTTATAGATAAAAGAAAAACCCAATCCTAATGTGCTTCTAATACTGAATCCCAATCCCTAAGATAACAACTCAATTCTATTTGGAACGGGATTTCTTAGTTTTCCCCACATCTATCCCTTTTCAAGTCTAGATTCATACCTTTTGAGCTTAGAACTTCCCCACTTTGAATCAATTTCGAACTCTCTTTTGCACTTTCAATCTCCGAAAATCTCTTCAAAACTTGAGTAGATTTAGGGGTAAGCCCAGGAAATTTTATGATTTTTCTGTTTGAAAGAGGCTGGAGGCAGAGCAACGGGATGAGTCTTGGGCGGCCAGGGCTCTTTATTTGAACCTACAAGCAAAACCACGTCATTTTGTTGATTCCTCCTTTCAGCATTTCAAGTTTCATGTTTTTTGCAAAAATAGTCCATATAGACGCCTAATTCTATCATTTAGCCCCAATTAAAATTGGGTTATGACACTAAGAAAACTATCATTTGAGGAAAATCTTTCTCATAACTGATGACATATGCGATTAGTATTTAGTACGGAAAAGAGTAGAGAACAATAATCAGAGTAACGCTTCAGAACTTCCATGCCTCAGTTTACCATGCCCAGCCATAAAAGAACAGACGATGGTTATCTAAGCCTTCCTATAGGTGCATATAGAACATTTAACTCTTGAACTCCATTGGACCACAGAAACCAGCATGTTTATGTACTTCTGCACATCATCTGCCAGAAGACATGGCTTGCTCAATCCTTCTAATTACAATATTAAGTCTACCACCACTTTCCAAAGCTCTGACGGCAGCTCAATGAACATGCCTGTGCCATTTAAGCACGTTGAAAGACTGTAGAACAGACCACCTAGCTTGATTTGAAATCTTCTCAAAGTAATGAAAACCAGTGATTAGCATCTTTTCTCTCTCTAGGTGAGAATAATTAGTACCTATTAATGGAGTAAAGGCATGAAAATAGATAGTTGCAGATTTACTGAGCTACAGACAATGGCAGTTGCAGGAGGACATTTTCATCATTCTCCCCACCCTCAGCCTCACCATAAACCAGAGCTTCAGCAGCAATACCAGCAAAAAGCACTATGCAGTACCTGATCACATAATCATGCATCACTACAATCAATACTAGTAGAAAAATATTCCTGATATGCATTTTTGCTAATGACGTATTTACTAACAGCCTTAAGAGAGAAGAACATGCAATGCACTTCTGCAGAGTACCTAGAAGAATAGTTTATTTTAACACCTGTTTAGACAGATTTATTCCACTTGAAATATCAGTGATCATAATTAGAAACTAATGGAATTATAGACCTTTTGACCTGATGCAGCACAAGTAAAGAACAAATAGATCGAGAGTAATAGAAGAAGATGTTGAAAAAGAGATTGAAAAAAGGGAAGACCTAAAAGGAACAAGAATTAGAAACAAGAATTTAGGTCGGGAAACTTTCTTAGAGTTTGTAGTCAGTATTTCCGAAAACTGACCGTCAAATACATGATGAATAACAATCTGTAAATCTACTAATTTTAGTAAATGAAAAAAATATAATTTGGATGCTAAACTTACATTTAAGGCAAGAATATCTAAATCTTTTAGGCAGCATCAAACGTCAGAGACACCACCTAGTGATACCAACCTGTCAAAGGTAGAGCCACTCAATCATCCCTTAGCCAGCTCATTACTCATTTTCTCATCCCAAAACTGAGTTCCAGCCAGTAGAAAAATGCTGAGTTTGGGCCTTTATAACTTCCATAAACTAAAGGTGTCAACAAGAGATTATATTGCTTAAGAATCAAACAGCATACAGCATGCAGTTTGATTTACTTTACAAAAAT